TGGACTCCTTCACCACCCCCACAAGAAGTTTGGACTTTGCTTTCATGCCGAGGGCCTTCCACCACATGAGAAGAAAGCACCACATCAGCAACAGGGACGAGGACGAGGGAGAGGCGAAAAGGGGCCTTTTGCCCCCACTGCTATTGGATACACCAGAATCTGACCCCGAAACCCAACCGCTCACGAAGCAGCCCAACGAGCTAGACGGCCTCTCATTATCCGTCCCTGTGGAGGAAGCTGCCAGGAGTCGGACAAAGTGAACGGAAAGGAAGTCAAACAGGTAAATGAAAAATCGAGGTGGGGGGCATCATGGGTGTTTTGTGAATCTAAAAACCAACAGCTGCAGCTTACTCTCTTTTTTGACAATCTCTCGCCAGCTCGATGATGACTTTCTAGAAGCCTTTGAGAAATTGCACATCGGTAATCCTGTGGGAGTAAATCTATCCTGTGCCAGCTGTTTTTGGTCATATCTGACACATGGATCTCGAGAACAAACGTGGAAGAATGAATTAACTCGGACTCCCTAATAGCGATAGTGGTGGGGGTGTCATGGTGCCCATTTGCAGATGGCTGTAAAAGGGTGTGTTAATCCAGATGCTTAATAAAACTTGTATGAAATGTGTTGGTGTGAATGTGTTCCTTCCATACTTACAGCATCTTTTACTAACACAAATAACAGTCATGTCTACGCAGATTGCTCTGTTAGAGAAAATACATTACACCCCCAGGGAAGCTGGCAGCTTTGGTGGGGTGAACCCTCTGTTTCAAGCAGTCAAAAAGCACAGTAAAACTTTGAACAGAAGACAGGTAACATCATGGCTTTCGGACCAAGACGCTTACTCTTTGCACAAGCCTGCTCGAATACATTTTAAAAGAGACAAGACCATTGTCTCAGACGTGGATGCACAATGGCAAGCAGATTTGGTGGATATGCACCGGTTCTCCAAACGCAACAGCGGTTTTAAGTATATTTTAACAGTGATAGACATTTTATCAAAATATGCCTGGGCCTTAGGCCTAAAGGACAAGACGGGCAAGGAGGTAGCCAAGGCCTTTAAAGCTATTTTCAGCGAAGGTCGCGTGCCTCAAAAATTACAAACGGATCGGGGAAAAGAATTTTTAAACAAACCTTTAAGTGGATTGTTAAAGCGGCATGGTGTCCACCATTTTGTTACTAACAATGAAGTCAAAGCGGGGGTTGTGGAGCGATTTAACAGAACTTTAAAATCTAGGATGTGGAGATATTTTACAGCCCACAATACCTTTCGCTACATTGACATATTATCTGAGTTTATAAAGAGTTACAGCTGGAGCTTTCACAGAACTATACGGACCAGACCTGCTGATGTGAACCCCGCAAATTCTCTGAAGGTCTGGAAAACTGTTTATGGAGATGATGTTAAAATAAAACAGGCTGTTGTTCCTTTTAGAAAAGGGGACCACGTGAGACTCTCTAAAACCAAAGGTGCCTTTAAAAAAGGTTATGAACAAACATTTACCGATGAGATATTCATAGTGGATGAAGCCTTAACCAGGGGTGAGAGACCTGTCTACCGATTAAAAGATTATGAGGGTGAGACAGTGACGGGGTCGTTTTACCCTGAAGAATTACAAAAGGTGAACCCCAAACAAGACAGGATTTACAGGATTGAAAAAGTTCTAGCAGAGAAAGGGAAAGGAAGAAAAAAGCAGCTATTGGTGAAATGGCTGGGGTGGCCCAACAAATTTAACAGTTGGGTAGAAGCTTCTCAACTCTGTAACGTTTAAGCGAGAATAAAAACAATAAAAGGAGAGAAATGGTGGACGGGGGCTTCCACATCACTCTGCCCAGCAACGCCAGCTCTGGGGTTTTTCCCCAAAACACCAGCTCGGCCTTTACAATACAGCTAATAAAGTCGTTGGATCTCCCGGGGGCCTGGGAAGTGGGGTTAGCGGAAATACAATATCCACACAGCTGGAACAACATTACTGAGGACACCCCTTTCCAAATCACCTTTGGAGATAAACCATGGAGTTATATCCTACGGCGAGGTTATTACTCAACTATACCCGAATTATTGGAACATATGAATAGCATTGTGGCACGTCATTCTGGACCGCCTGATGTTATCATGAATTATGACCCCGTGAGTAGAAAATGTAGACTTAAATCCACCGATGCTACTGCTACGTTTTCTACCCTCGGGGAGCTAGCTAACATTCTGGGTTTGGCCCCCGGGCACAGTGTCCAGAAGAGTCCCTTCTCAGCAGACATCACAGGGGGTTTCAACTCCTTGTATCTATACACGGATATTGTAGAACACCAGTTTGTGGGGGACTTTTCTGTCCCCCTGTTACGCTGCGTCCCTGTCAGAGGAAATAACAATGAGTTTGTTACCATCACCTACGATAAGCCTCATTACGTACCCATCAGTCAACACCACATCGACACCATCACCATTGAAATAAAGACGGATCAAAACAGATGCGTTTCATTTCGCTTTGGCAAGGTGATTGTGAAGCTGCACCTGCGTTCCCGGAAAGAGCGAGGTTTCTAAAAAGCAAAACACTATTATGGCGATCGTAAAAAATTACGGTGACTCCAAAGTCTACAGCAACTATTACAAAGCCCAGGCTGGATATGCCCTTCCTGGATATCATGGAGCCCCTGTGATGTACGGGGCCGGCGTGGGCGGTATATTCCGTAGCCTTTTTCGAAAAGCTGTACCGCTTTTGCGAAGAGGGCTAGAGATTATTAAACCCCACATAAAAACAGCCGCTCAAAACATAGCCAGAGATGTGGTAGGCCACGTTTCCCAGGCTGTCTTGGAGAAGGTGGGGAATCCGGCTAAACAGGAAGGGTCAGGGCTGATGTATATTAAAAGGAGGAAGAGAAAGAGAAATGCGTCATATCCGCGACGCACAGGACCCCCGAAACCCTTTAAAAGAAGAGCCTTGACACGCAGGACAGGCCATAAGCAAAAGTCCAAGAGGAAGCCAGGGAGAAAGAGGACACGCTCTGTACCTGGTAAAAGAGATATATTTTAGTCAACATGGCTTTCGTTCACTGCGGGTCGGAAGAGTGCACCAAATCTGAACTAGACTTGTTTCAGATAGCCCCTACGCAGACCAGCATTGAGAAAAGCATCTACATCGAGGTGCCAGTCAGGGTTGATGTATATTAAAAGGAGGAAGAGAAAGAGAAATGCGTCATATCCGCGACGCACAGGACCCCCGAAACCCTTTAAAAGAAGAGCCTTGACACGCAGGACAGGCCATCAGCAAAAGTCCAAGAGGAAGCCAGGGAGAAAGAGGACACGCTCTGTACCTGGTAAAAGAGATATATTTTAGTCAACATGGCTTTCGTTCACTGCGGGTCGGAAGAGTGCACCAAATCTGAACTAGACTTGTTTCAGATAGCCCCTACGCAGACCAGCATTGAGAAAAGCATCTACATCGAGGTGCCGCCTCTGTCAGCCGTGACAGAAACTGCCCCCATCGACTTTTTTATAGCAGGGAATGGCATAGATTATATGGATTTAAACAACATCCTACTCTACCTTTGTTGCAAGATAGTAAAAGGCGATGGGACTGCACTCCCCAGGGATGCCGCAGTAGGCCTGGTGAATTACCCAGTGGCCTCTATTTTCAGTCAATTGGACGTTACATTGGGAGACCACCTAGTAAGCCAAAGCAACAACTTTTACCCTTACAGGGCCTTTATCGAATCAGTTCTCAATTACAGCGACGACACCATCGCTACACAATTTTCCGCCAGACTGTTTTACAAAGACACTCCTGGAGAACACGAAAAAACAGAGCTGGATGGTGAGAATCTAGGATTTGTGAGGCGTGCAAGGCTGACGTCCTAGAGCATTATGATATTAATTTTGTGGCCCTGTATGTGGATGGTGAGCAGATACCAACCAAACCTCTGCAACCAGACTTTGAGGCCGGCCGCTGTGTGAGAGAGAATACATGAGTCTGGTACAGACAGCAGGCAAACACATGAAAGATCGTTCTCTGTTAATTGACCGTGAGGAGTTTGCACGGGGTTACACCTTGTTTGCCTTCGATCTCTCTCCTGACCAGGAATGCGCCGACCACTATTCGCTGATTAAAACAGGGAACCTCAGAGCAGAAATACGCTTTGGGAAGGCTTTGACGGTCACCGTCAATATGATTGTGTATGGGATTTTTGACAACGTCATAGAGATAAATCAGAGGAGAAACGTTCTGTTTGATTACATGTGAAGATGGACACGGTGCAGCTCTCACGTGTCTTGACCGCAGACCCTTAAACAAAAGAGAATTTCTTGGATGTTTCCCCTTGTGATTGGCTCCCTGGTGGCAGGTTGTTATCTCAGAGACCCTTAGGTTTGGTGGTCAACACGCACCCTCACAACCAACCGGGTGAACACTGGCTTGCCTTGTATCTGGCAGAGCGTACCCGTGGAGAGTTTTTTGATTCATATGGACACCCCCCAAACAGCGCATTGTTTCTTAGAAGCATTATGAAATTTTTAAACAAAAATGCCACCAACATTGTGTTTCACACTAGACAATTACAACACCCCCTCTCTGTCGCCTGTGGCTATCACTGTGTGTTTTTCTTGCATTACCATAGCAAGGGTTTATCTTTTGACCAGATTTTTAAAATGTACTCTAATGACTTAATGCAAAATGACCAGATGGCGATGAGCTTTGTAAAAAATAAATTTAAATATTTGGGCATGCCTAGTCTTGCTCAAAACATGTTTCAGCAAACTCAGACATGCGTATCCTGCAATGACTTTCATAGCCATGTTGCTCAATAAAGCACCCCAGGTGAGGGGTTTAAAGGCAACTGATGTTTGTTTTTCTTAATTTTTGTTCTTAAAAAAACAATGAACAATTCAGAAAAAATACCAAGACATAATATATATATTAAATAGATGTGTATACACACACACACACACACACACACACACAGAAGTGTTTTTATTTAAAGCAAAATGTGATCAAGTTAAAAACTTATTTTTAGAACATGACAAACTTCACACACTGAGCCAGTCAGATAGTTTAGCCAATTTTCGGTTTTTAGAAGGCAAAACAGGAGTCGGTGTTTCTCGATCCATCCCAGTGTCAGTGGCTGAGGCCTTCAGGCGTTCCCAAAGAACTCTGTTGTCTGCACTGCCCATGATGGAAGATGGGGCGTTTAGTTCTGCCATGGCATTTATAAACACTTCCCACCCTTTAGGTACATGTCTGCTAGGGACAGAACGCGTCTGGGTGACGGCTCTGACTAAGTCAAGCATGTTAGAACCATTAACCACCGAGCCTTTGTACACAAATGCACCTTTATCATTCCAGGAAGCGATAGTTTTATCCTGGCCCAGCTCCCATCAGTCAACACCACATCGACACCATCACCATTGAAATAAAGACGGATCAAAACAGATGCGTTTCATTTTGCTTTGGCAAGGTGATTGTGAAGCTGCACCTGCGTTCCCGGAAAGAGCGAGGTTTCTAAAAAGCAAAACACTATTATGGCGATCGTAAAAAATTACGGTGACTCCAAAGTCTACAGCAACTATTACAAAGCCCAGGCTGGGTATTCCCTTCCTGGATATCATGGAGCCCCTGTGATGTACGGGGCCGGCGTGGGCGGTATATTCCGTAGCCTTTTTCGAAAAGCTGTACCGCTTTTGCGAAGAGGGCTAGAGATTATTAAACCCCACATAAAAACAGCCGCTCAAAACATAGCCAGAGATGTGGTAGGCCACGTTTCCCAGGCTGTCTTGGAGAAGGTGGGGAATCCGGCTAAACAGGAAGGGTCAGGGCTGATGTATATTAAAAGGAGGAAGAGAAAGAGAAATGCGTCATATCCGCGACGCACAGGACCCCCGAAACCCTTTAAAAGAAGAGCCTTGACACGCAGGACAGGCCATAAGCAAAAGTCCAAGAGGAAGCCAGGGAGAAAGAGGACACGCTCTGTACCTGGTAAAAGAGATATATTTTAGTCAACATGGCTTTCGTTCACTGCGGGTCGGAAGAGTGCACCAAATCTGAACTAGACTTGTTTCAGATAGCCCCTACTCAGACCAGCATTGAGAAAAGCATCTACATCGAGGTGCCGCCTCTGTCAGCCGTGACAGAAACTGCCCCCATCGACTTTTTTATAGCAGGGAATGGCATAGATTATATGGATTTAAACAACACGCTACTCTACCTTTGTTGCAAGATAGTAAAAGGCGATGGGACTGCACTCCCCAGGGATGCCGCGGTAGGCCTGGTGAATTACCCAGTGGCCTCTATTTTCAGTCAATTGGACGTTACATTGGGAGACCGCCTAGTAAGCAATTTTCCGCCTGACTGTTTTACAAAGACACTCCTGGACAACACGAAAAAACAGCTGGATGGTGAGAATCTAGGATTTGTGAGGTGTGCAAGGCTGACGTCCCAGAGCAGGACAATGGAGTTGTTGGGTCATCTACACAGCGACCTGTTTTTTCAAGAAAAACTTTTGTTGAACGGGGTGGATGTGAAAATTAAATTGACACGCAGTAAAGCACCCCAGGTGAGGGGTTTAAAGGCAACTGATGGTTGTTTTTCTTAATTTTTCTTCTTAAAAACAATGAACAATTCAGAAAAAATACCTAGACATAATATATATCTATTAAATAGATATTCTATATATAGAGAAGTGTTTTATTTAAAGCAAAATGTGATCAAGTTCAAAAATTATTTTTAGAACATGACAAACTTCACACACTGAGCCAGTCAGACAGTTTAGCCAATTTTTGTTTTTTAGAAGGCAAAAAAGGAGTTGGTGTTTCTCGATCCATCCCAGCGTCAGTGGCTGAGGCCTTCAGGCGTTCCAAAAGAACTCTGTTGTCTGCACTGCCCATGATGGAAGATGGAACGTTTAGTTCTGCCATGGCATTGATAAACACATCCCATCCTTTAGGTACATGTCTGCTAGGGACAGAACGCGTCTGGGTGACGGCTCTGACTAAGTCAAGCATGTTAGAACCATTCACCACCGAGCCTTTGTACACAAATGCACCTTTATCATTCCAGGAAGCGATAGTTTTATCCTGGCCCAGCTTATTTAGCAACACTGAGGCGTTTTTCTTATAACGCTTATTCACGTTATCCAACAGCTCCTGAACCACAGAGTCTGAGGTGTTTTCTGTTTCTGGAGGTTTGGCGGTGTCACTCTGTTCTGGTAGAAACAGACTTATTTTCCTTTTATCTGCATCACTTTGCCTCACGTACGTTAGGTATCTCTGAAGCACAGCGCTGTAGAGTTTAGCCTTTTCGTATTCGGCTAAGTCAGTCCTTTGAAGAACAGACTTCATTTCAGCATCCAGTAAGCGAGTTGCAGTTGTTCTGATATTTTCCTCCACTGGAGGGGGAGCCCTTAATTGCTCCAGCTGATGACTGGGCACCAGGTACATTTTTTCTGCATACTCCATTATCGGTTATTCAAAAGCCCCGTTATCAGAGGGACAGCAAAACTTAACAAAGGGCCGATAAACCCCCCAGACTGCTTCACCAGATGCTTCTTTCTTTTAAGCGAGACCCTTTTATTAGACAATGTTTTTATAAGCGTGCGTTTCTTTTTCAGCACGCTCACTTGATTCTGCGTCAAAGGCACGTTTCCTTTTAAGGTATTGAGTGCTAGTTCTGAGATGGCCGCTACTAAATCGTCAGAGGCCAAACACAGTATAGCCTTCCTTTGCTGCGGGGGTGATTTGCTAAGTAATTTTAAAAGAGCCAGGTTTCTCTTCACGCAGCTAGACATGTTTTCGGTCGGCAACCCCCAGCTGTTAAAAAGGGTCTGCCGATAAATCATCTCTTTTTATACCCGGCGGTTGTTCTTTTCAAAGTAGAAGCCACCGGCCAGTCTGGAGGGAAAAGACCAGTTCTTAGTCTATAAGCTTCTGGCGTGGACGCATTTAAATCCACCACCAGGTAGCCATAAGGTCTTTTGGTAGCATCCTCAAAAGCTTCTAGAAAGAATTGAGCCTTGCCGGGGTAAATTTGCCGAGCAAGCGTAGCGATTTGCAGTTTATCCCTGGGGTTTTTGAACAGAACCATGTACTTAGTGTTTAGGTTAATCGTACGGCTCTTTTTCCCCTGACAAAATACGTTCTGAACGATATACATAATGCTCAATTTCCTGTGGTGCACGTACTTGGTAAAGGCTTTCTCAATTTCATCGCTTTCACAAGCAGAGTTCATCAGATCATCCACGATAATCAGATTCACTTTATTAGTAGGAAACAAATGGTCATCGTCAAAAGCATTAGGCAGACCCTCCACAAAATTAGTAAAGGGATATTTACAGAGCAGTTCTTTATACAGAGGTTGCCAACAACTGTAACACCACACAGTATTCTCAGGCATAACAGACAGTGTGTGTTTGGCATTATCCAATACGTTTTTTATAAAGTAACTTTTCCCACAGTTGCTAGGCCCTGCGAGAATTGCAGAAAAGGGGTGTTTCCACCTCGTATCCATTTTTCAAAAGCCGAAGGGCCGGGTTTTAAACCCTTCTCCTAGGACCCTCTTGTTATAAACACCTTTGTGTTTTTTAAGGGTTTTTGTCTCTATTTGCCACTGATTTTTGTTTCTTACAATCGAGGGCTGTTGCACCTCTATCTTTTTTGAGGTGTTTTCTTGCAGACCCGTGCAATAGTCCAGGACTAGATCTTTCAAACTGTCAAAGTTGATCTTTTCACAGTTTGCTACGTTTAGGGTAATCCCTTTGACTTTCCTACAGGCCTTTCCTCCTGACAGCTTATACCCATAGGTTTTCGGGCCTGCCAACACAAACTCAGTGATGTGTTGATCTGACGGGATCTCGCTTGTGAGGTCCCCTAAATAATCCCCCTGAGGAGTATTCCAGTCACCTTCCCTTTTCGCAAATATCACTGAGTCAGTGTCGTGGTATAGGCACCGCTCTTGCAACCCATCTAGGAAACTGTATAATTCTAAGCGGGCATAAGCGGTGGTGAAACAGGCTATGAAAACATTGGTATTGCCAGAGACAGAGTACCGGTCTTTTGCGTGCTTCCAAGACACGCATGCTGTTTCATTGTCGATAAACTCGCAGGATGAAACCTCGTAATTGGGGGAAAACAGGTACCGAAAGAGTTCATCAGGGTCTCTTACGATGCTGGTGTTGGGTAGGTTTGTTCTTTGGCCGAATTTACCCCACAGAGAATTTAAAAACAGTTTAGCAATTTGGCGTTTAGCTGGGTTCGACCTGATCTCGTGTTGGCGTAAACGCACGCCTTCTTTTTGGTAAAAATCGTTAACGTACTTATTTTGTTTTTGATCATCTGTGCACCAGCTGGGACACTCTGAAGCTCTTGTTTCTGACGGAGGTGTAATTTTATATACTCTGAAAAGAGTTTGTCATTGAAATGCCAGATTTCATAGATTTTAGCCACTGTATACCCCTTTGTTATGGCCACATTCAATTCCACAGTGCACCGTGTCCCCAGGATAGCTCTCTCCTCATCAGTATGGGTGCACGTCTCCCGCTGCTCGGTTTCCGCACATGTTTGGCATAGCGGGAACATAAGCTTGCCACCCACTCTGACAGGTAACAATGGGAAAAAGAGGCCTCGCGGGGGGTACACCTTAACTTCCCTTAGCTTTTGCAATTCCAAAATAATTTGCGAGGGGTCCAAAGATGTCAAACTATATCGGGGTATTCTTGGTTTTGTTTACGAAAGGGTACAGGCTGGTAAAATCATAATAGTGGATTTCTTCCCCGGGGTTAGGCTTGTAAAATAGGCGGATAGTGTTTGTCATCCCCCCAAAAAGAGCATCCCTAGGCCTGAGAGGCTGGGGTAACTGGGCTCAGTTTTAAAAGCCTGCAAGCTCCCTGTCTGTTTCTTACAGCACCTCCCACTCGTGCTCCCAGAGAGTCCTCACTACAAAACCAAGTCGTTTTAGATAGTCAGTCTTAAGCTGCGTCTTGTAATAAAGAAACCCAAAAGTTGTCCCTGTCATAGGGTTTTGTGCTTTTTCACAATAACAGGTGACACAGCCATGGAAAAAACACCCGTTAAACTCAAAGGTCGTGCGTACCCCATCAACATTGGTATAACCGTCTAAAAAGTAGGGGCCTACCTGTAGTTCCCCACCCTGTAAAGCATGCCGTATTTGTATATTTTCTTTGTAAGAGGTATACAGCAGCCACTGAATAGATGGGGTCGAATATCTCTTTTTCTGCCGGTGGTAATTGTCTGGAGGGAGAAGAGCTACCGTGTTAGGCTCCAAAAGCATAAACCTGTACATCGCCATGCAGATGGAGGCCAGCGTGATGTACTGGAAAGGATCGATATACAGGTTTATCTCAGTGAATTTACCAGGGCCTCTCTCTGCTACATCCCCCATCTCTGTCATGTTCATAATCTCTTTTCTATATAGAATACAAGCCTGTCTCAAAATGTTAACATCCTGTTGACAGTAATACGCGAGCTCTTTCTGCAAGTCAAACGTCTCATAGCTGTGGTCCCGATACCAGTCGAGAAACTCTGCTTTTTCCCTGGGCATCATACTGTCTACACCATAGTGTCCCACACCAGGCATAGGCCCCACGTAATTTTGGTGTGAAAAAAATGTGGAAAATACCCTTTGCACCCTTCAAACCCCATCGCCTGCAGTAGCTTGCTAAGCTTCATGGGCAAGAAGTTTAAAGAGTCTATAAAACGAATGTCCAGGGCCTTAACTTTCACACACATTAGTTTACTACCCTGAGTGATCAGCTCTAGGCACATCTTTTCCTTCAGTAGCTGTCTCACGACAAAGTACGCATGAAGCACCCCCATCCCTGCTTTTTACAACTGTCACAACGAGGCGCAATGTTCCATTGAGGTGCAACTCTCTATTACTCTGTAACAGCTTTGAGGTCTGGTTTAAAAAATCCTCAGCAGACAGCTCGTCCCTAGTTCTTCTGACCGAAAACAAAGGGTTAGTTAAATTACGGCTCTCTAAACGTAACTGGACATAACCATCAGGGCCTACCCTACCATTAACCTCATCTAGAACTAACTGCATTCCCCTACGTAGGCTTCAATAGCTTGTTCCGTTGCATTTA